GTTTGCATATTCTCCATAATGTTCCCTATGCTTGTTGTAAGATACTAACAAGGATTATTTATTTAACAATCAAGAGCTTCTTTAGTAGATGACCATCTCCCTTATTGTCATGACCTTAATGTGCAATTCAGAAGTTATCATGTTAGGAGAATTTGATGCTAGTCACTCGTAGGGGTCAAAGTGTTATAAAGATATCAGAATTTCTTTGGGTTGAACACAATTAAAAATTTTTATTGAAATCTCTACTTTCGAACTCAACCAATAACAACACAATGTTCAGAAACTCTCTTGAAGCATTGTAGAGGTTTAAAATACATGTGAAAGAAAATTATTATTATAGCGGAGCTCGCAGAGGGTAGCCCCATAATTATACAAAATGGTAGTAGTAATAGTAACCCATCAAGCCAAAAAAAATTTGGACTTACAACTGTACGACTGTACAACCATACAAGTTGCTACTTTTAACATGCATGGTCAGCTGTACCGCGGGCACGCCAACACCACAGCTTTGTCCAGTAGTCCAGTGGTCAGTGCACTGGGCTCTGAGTCAGACGAGCTGGGTTCTAGTCCTGGCCGGGGCAAGGCGTTGTGTCCTTGAGATGTGCAGGGAAAAAGAATGCGAGCTCTGCTTTTAGGCTTGGCAAAATCTATATATTATTCAAAAGTAATAATGGATGTTTGTTACTTTGTTGAAGTTTATTTTTAATTGTGGTTGCATCTATATGTTGTATTCATATTGTAGTAGCAGTATCTAAGATTTGTGAGACAAACATCCTTTTAACTACATCAACTACATAAGAGGCTTACTATGACATTTTACAGAGAGGCTGTTTAACCATGTCACTGAAATTGTTTGCTGCACCAAAATCAGCTGTCCTTAAAATATAAATCCTCTGGTACTTCAAACACTTGAGTGATACAATTGTACATTTTGACGACTGAAAGATTTTCATGAATTTTAGATAGGTCCAATGGACCCTGAACGAAGTCATGTGTCAGTCCAGAATGATGACAACCACAGAAGTGTATTGCCATCAAGCTCCATAGAGGAAGGATCTTGTTCTGTGGCAGTGGAGGTCTCTGATTCTGAAGGAAAGGAGAATGTACTTGTGGAGAAAGTTCAGGAGATAGCATTAGACAGCAGTAGTAGTGTCAAGACAGAATGGACAACTTCGAGGGCAAGCATTCATTTAACAACAAGTGTGCATAATAAGACTGGAGCAATGTTTGAAGAGGAAGAAGAAGGAGAACTTGATTACGAGGAGGATGAAGGCGAAGTACCAGGGGGCCAAGAGGATAAGAATGGCCTAAGAAATGATGTTGATGATGGTAAAGAGGAAGGTGAAGTAGAAGATGATGAGCAAGATGATGAGGGTGAAGAAGGAGAAATCCTCTCAGATGATGATGATAAGGTAAAGGGCTTTTACATCCCCAAGATCCTTAAATTAAATCTCCTTGCTTTGTTTGTATGTTTCTCAACATATTAGTTCTGATAATTTGGTGCTAATCAAGCATTGATATTGTATGGAAAAATTACTGTCTGGTAACTATGAGGAATGAAAGGGTGAAGAAAGTTCCAAGCCACGGATCCAAACTTTTGAGAAAAACTTATTTATTTGGCTATACATCCATGAATGTATTAAAAAGAAGATAAATTTGTTCAAAAAATGAGTGGGGTAAGTTTGGAAAAGAACGTTGTATCCTGGTGCTATAACTGTATTTCCAGCTAAGTTTGTATAGGTATGTGTGTTGTTTTAAAATTTTTTATTTGCTTTTCAGGTAAATGCAGAGAAAAAGCCTCAAGAACAAAAAGATTCGGCTAAGAATGAGGTAAAAAAGGGAATAATAAGTTAGTTATGGTGCATTCTTACCAGTATAACCTTTGTGCTGTTATGATATGTAACGCACACAAAGTTAATGAGTAGAAGACCTCAGTAGTTTCTTTGAAATCTTTTAATGAATGAGCAAGCATTAGACAAGGTATATATCTAGAAAGAGATACTGATTGTGGTTATAATTATGGTCATGATGAATAAATTGAGAGGTCAGTAATTATGTAATAACCAAAAAGTTGATATTGAAATTTTCACTCCAGAGATTTGGAGTCAATTCAAGTAACTGATGACCATACACTTCTGTAGCCAGTTTGAGTGAAATTGATTTTATAAGGGGGCTAAGCATATAAATAGAAGAGGATAGTGTCCAACCTTGTCATTACTTGTCTTCACAGTGGTGTATTGAAATTGTAACGAGAATTTAGGCCTTTGATTACTCCTGGCAGTCATGGAGTTAATGAAAAATCTCACCTAAATGTCTACTCTTTAATTTTCTTTT